GCTGGATGTTCATCATCCCAAAATGTCTCTCCAAAGTCTTAGCCAAGAGAGATGACTTGCATGTGAGCCCACCGAAAAGGATATTTCTAAAAGTCATCATTGCAGGCAGAGTAGAACACAGGTGATGGAGTTTCTTCCCGGGGAACTCCATGTGACTGGACTATCACCCCATGAACCTGCACAGAATGTTATAAACTCATCTGGGGAGCTCAGACAAGTGCTATTTCCAGCACAGCATTCATCTAAATGGGCACTTTCCCCAGGTTTGAAATATTAATTCTTCTGTGCTGTCTGCAGTGTGGGATGTCTGTGGAGCTCAGCTGGGAGCAGGTTTTGGGTCAGGGCTGCTTGGTTAAGCTGTGGCTCCTGTGGTGGGGGAAGGCAGGAGGCAGCTGAGGCTTTGTTTTCAGCCCTCTTACAGAGCCTCTTCTTGGGAGCTCTGTCAGAAAAATGGCTTGAATCACATCTCTGCACACTCAGAGGCACAAGGCTGTTAATGAAGGTTTCAGGCTGTGAGGGATGTCTGGGCTGGCCTTTCCTCCTTGAGCACCATGAGAACAGGACTTGAGCTGCTCCTAAATTCTCCTCTCCTCAGCTGGAGTATCTGCTGTGTGTTTTTTTATTTTTTCCTTAACCAGTTCCTGAGGAATTTTGTGCCATCCTTTGACCACAAAAAAATCAGAGTGGGGAACAGAGGGTAAAATAATAATGGACAAATGAAGAAAAAATAGAGTTGTGGATCCGTCCTTGTTGGATAAACGTCCCCTGTGTAATCCAGAAGGAGCCCTGGTGCAGGACATCTCAGCCTGGCAGCAGTGCAGGGCACAGCTCTGATTTCTGGGCTGTGGCCCTGGCATGGGGACGGTCCCTGCTCACCACAGAAGCTTTGCCTGGCTCAGCAGCCGGTGCTGCCTGTGAGAAACCAGCCAGGATTTATGGCTGTGATGCAAGAACTGGCTGGTAAAAGTTTCATGGAGCCAGAGTCCCAGGGAAGCTGTAAATCCTGCAGAGTCTGAGCCTCTGAAGGGATTGCAGCAGTGATTCCTCAGTCCCACAGAACACAGAGCTCCAAACCCACCCTGCTCGGAGGGCTCCAGGCTGAGCCTGTGCAGCCACGAGATGGCACCGGCTCCTCATTTTAACCTGAATTCGCTTTTTCTCCGCTGTGACTGCTGACAGTCTGGGTGTTACTTGTTTCTTTCTGAGTTAATCATTTTCTATCTTAATTTTGCTGATAATTTGGGAATTTGGTAATGCTAAAACCCCCTGCAATTAATGCAATAGACTGTACTGTGACCCATAATTAGTGGTACAGTTATTTTTAAAAGACACTCCATCGGAAAAGAAAACTTGCACCCAATATATAAATATTGTAATGACAGCTAATTGGATTTAAAGAAATAAGACTTCCAAGCATGTTAAATTCCTGCTTTAATATCCAGCATCATTAAATGTGTGTGATTACAGAAACAAATATAAATCCAGAGTGATGGGAATTATTCCAAACCACTCAAACCTCCAGCAGGAGAACCTTAGCAGGGAGCAACCTGGGGTGATGGGGGCTGTTGTTTGGGAACCCTGGAAATTCTAAACTAAATTGGAGAAATTAATTCAGGTTCGTCTTCAGATACAAATGATAAAATACATGTGCTAGAGCAAATGGCACAGGGTGTGGAAGAGACAAGAGACTTTATTGAATATACCTTGACTTGCTGGTCTGTATAAAAATGCCTCTAAAGCCCAAACTTTCATCCATAGAGCTTTTCTTGTTTTTCCACTCTGGGGGATCAGAGGTGGCCATGTGCAGCTGAAACTTTGGAATCTGCAGGGAGTTCCACAGGGAAAAGCAATTTCTCTTGTGGGCAGTCAGGAGCACTCAGCAGCAGGAGCACCTGCCCTGATGAGACAGAGCTCCAGGCTCTGGGGGCTCAGGTCCTGTCTGAGGGGATCCCCCAGACCCACCTGTGCCAGGTGTCTGTGCCACAGCAGGCTGGGGATCCCCCCAAACCC